GGGAGGATGGGTTAGCCTGGTGGTGGGTATTGAGGACGGCACATTCTGCATGGAGCACTGGGTGTTATGCATAAACAATGAATCATGGAACACTTCATCTAGAACTAATGATGTAATGTATGGGGATTAACATAAGAATAAAAAAATTAAAAACAAAAACAAAAACAAAAACAAATACCCTAGTATTCTTAGTATCATTTCACAACTATCTCTTGGGCTCTCACCTTGGGTGATTCCAAACTACTCAACAACCATGACTTCCTTAGGTCATCTTACCATCCTCCGCAGTACTGAGCCAGCATCTTTCACACAAAACGTGCTTAGTAAATGTCTTACTCCCCTGAACCTATGTGCATTTTGTGACCCCACGTGTTTCCCACATCTCTTAATCACGGGAAGTTTCCTATGCAATTAATCTCTCAAAAACATTCTGGCAAGAATGTCACTAAGCAACACTGAATACAGCAATAAAATGAGTGTTGCATGTTTCCCTTTGTGGAAAGGGTCAACACACCTCAGTCCTTATATTTTCCAAGCTTCTGATTTTTTGGAATAACAGGCAAGCATCAAGATACTGATGATATAGTCCATTTAAAACTGATCAACTCATGTCAAAAGAATTAGGAACCAACTTGAAAGGAATGAAACATTTGAACATCAACAAGGGTGACAGGTACACAAACATTCATTAAATTATTCTCTCCATCTCTGCATATGTTTGAAAAGTTCCACAATAAAAAGTTAGGGGAAAAGGCTGTGACTTTTAAATAAATGGTATACTAATTTAAAATCACACTATTACAAGCCAGCTATTCACATACTCTGCCCAGGGAGGGGTTACCATAGTTGTGAAGAGCTGAAATCTGTTAGACCTGAGGCTGGAGAGGACCAGGCCATATCAGAGAGCCTTGAGATTGAGGCCAAGGAGCATGGGCTTTCCATGAAGGCAACAGAACCCGATTAGGGTCTCTCACTGTGCACCACCTCATCCCCAAAGTTAAGGTTAGAATGAAGTACTCATGTGACTAGTGTCTCCACATACCGGGTACCCTGCCCCACACTCACTGTGGGGAATATCAGTTATCAGAGATCAAGAGATTTAGATATATGCCAAGGCTCTTTGACCCTCAGGTCTTGGACAAAGCTAAACAAGGAGAAATTTATCTTTAGGGATATATCTCTGCACCCCTAGAGTCCCAGGCCTATATTTCAATCATATTGGTCTAATGTCCCTGCAATAACCCAATCCAGGCCCCTTCCTCCCCAAAGGTCCAAAATTTTTTGCATTCATCAATATTCCTATTCCCTATAAATCAACATTCCCTAAACAGAAATTTATTAATATACACCTGCTACAATATAGCTCTTCTGTACTATTTCTAACTACCAAGATTATCTATGCCCAACTGAATGTTCTTAAACGACACAGATCCTAGAGCAAATTCTAATCCTCCCATCCCAGCTCCTCTGCACCAGGAGATGTCAATATGTCTACCTTCCCTTACACTCTCTTTTTAAGAATCATTGCTATAAAGGGGCACCTGGGTGGCTCAGTCAGTTAAGGGTCTGCCTTCCGCTCAGGTCTTGATCTTTGGGTCCTGGGATAGAGCCTCGCATCGGGCTCCCTGCTCAGCGGGGAGTCTGCTTCTCCCCCTGCCCCTCACCCCTCCTCCTCCACTCGTGTGCTCTCTCTCTCCCCCACTTAAATAAATAAAATCTTAAAAAAAAAAAAAAAAAGAATCGGGATGCCTGGGTGGCTCAGTCGTTAAGCGTCTGCCTTCGGCTCAGGTCATGATCCCAGGGTCCTGGGATCGAG